CTACTCAGATCGCCCCCGAGAGAGGCCTCTTCGCCCTGAGGGGCTGATTCGCCCGGCTTCAGGCAAAAGACGGTCAAGGTGATCATGCCTCGCAGGCCCGAGGTGGTTGGTAGTTAGAGTGATCCCAAGTTGAAGAAACACACAAATTGGGAACATGTCGCGAACAAAGATCTGGGCGCTCGGGTGCAAGACTTCAGAAGTCTATGAATGAGTCTTTGAGCCCCCATCTGTCCAAATGTTGCTGCTCGGCTCGTGGTGGAGACCCTCTTGCCTTTTGCGGAGGTCTCGCCATCTTTGCGCAAAGGGAGGGACTTCTTCATGTAGACATGGCCTGGCAGAAAGGGCTTCGAAGCAGCGCACGGAAGAAGCCCAAAGGCGGGCAAACTGGATTATATATGACATGGAATCATATGACATGGGGACATGTTTTATTTGTATTTCTTTTGGGCTGCGCTTCAAGCAGTCCACCGAAGGTGTCCGCACCCCCGAACGCAGGAAGGATTGTCCGAAACAAAGGCCCCAAAGGAGCCAAAGGTTGCAGGTGGTGACTTGGCAGTTCCGGCCCTCCCACGCGCCAACCAGGCGCGCAAACGCTGATGTGGTGGCCTTTCCGGCGCGCGTTTGCGCCGGAGACGGCACGTTCGAACGGGCATGGTGTTAGATTTGTTCCAAGACCCCCAGGCCGGGACCCGATTCTCCAGGTCTGGACCGGACTCCCCAGGCCGGGACCCGATGCTTTCAACCCACGTCCAAGACCAACCCGCCGATGCTCGGCCTTGCCGCGCATTGATGCTTTTCAGCTGCAGAAAGGCTTTGCCGATGAGGTCATTTCGAGTGAACCAGTTCCTGCAGTTGATTCACTGTGGACAAGAGTGGCTTACGTATGCTCACGCCCTTTCTCAAAGTAAGCTTTAAGAAGCCTCGAATGTTGAACCAGTCTCTGACATGTCCCTCTAGAATCCTCTAGACCAGGCCTTTGTCCTGCCACCTTTTCAAGCTTTTCTTCATGACTCCGAGTTCGATGAAAACACCCAAAGACCAAACATGAATCGATGTTGGAGGGCAGTTCACATTTTAAAGCATGTTCCATTCAATTCACCTCACCTCAAGTCCATTTCCACCACCTCTTGGCAAGGCATTTTTTGGGGTTCCATTCCATTTTCAGGGGTTTCATTGCAGTGCACTCTATCAGCACGGCCATCAAAATCCTCAGTTGACTTCTTCAAAACCATCGTGCCATATCGTGCCCACGGCCCCCACGGCCCCCACGGCCCCTCGCATTCGTCTGCATCGTAGTGGCCGTGCATAGATGGAAAACTCGATGTAGGCCGACTCAAACCTGTTTGGCGATGAGTTCCAACCGCCGTCGACTAACAGTAACATCCGTCCCATGGCCAAACAAGTCGATGAACACGACCAGGTCGCACCGTAAACCAACACGACCAAACGAAGAAGCTCCATATATATGGAGGTACCATGTAAAATCCCCGAAACTCCATCCTGACATCATGCAAAACACATTACAGATAATTGATATTTAGTGCGGGGAGCGAAAAGCCTCTATATACGTATAGCGGCACCTTTTGCTGCGATGATTGACAAATGATGTTCTTGCAATCCAAAGCAGAGGCTCTGTGATGGTTGAAGATGAGGAAGCAAGGTATCCAGTTTTTTGCAGTGTCACGCTTGTTGTGGATTCCATATTCTTCTCTGATAGCTTCTCATCATATGAGAGTCATATTACTTATCCACTGGACTGGAGTGGATAGTTGCTATTTATAGCAACTTCAGCCGGTTCTGCACTGGTGTGACTGGACCCAGCCGAGCCGAGGACTGCTGCTGTGCCGCGTTCGATGTCCACATTCGCCATTCGTGGCCGAGAGGCTCTTCGGGCGAGAGTTCCACGTCAGGCCAAATATTATCCTGAGGCCAAAAAACGGCAGGCCATGGGCGTCCATGTGCCCCGCTCACAGCCGGGTGTTCCACGTGAGGCGCGTGCGATGTGGGGAGGGTGTTCCATGGGAGGGGGTTTTCTTCAAGGATGGGCTGGAGATGGTTTGAGCATGCAAATGGATGTCAAACACCCACACAAATGACAGGTTACCCCTTACTTGAGGAAACACGGGTTAATTACTGATCCTGAGCCAAATGCCAATTTTAGCCAAAGACTAAAGACCAATAACCAACGTGCCACGCTTCCGGCCGGCCACACAACACATCTGGGTGGGAGGTATACATCTTCAGGCCAGGTTTCCTCTTCGATTGTTTCAACCAACATGCCTTCCACCTGGTCACCACCTTCCAGTGCGTTTGTGGTCGAGCTCGGTTCGGAGACCTGGCCTCATTCCAGGAGACGAACATGGCTTTGGCCTCCTTGGTGTCGGTCTGGTAGCGCTTCCCACAGCATTCCACCACCACGAAAGGATCGCAGGGCAGCCCATCGGACGTGGTCAAGTTCCTCGCCTCGATTCGTGCGCCGAATCGCTCGGCAGGGCGTAGCTACGAAGTGCACAGGTTGCGACTGACAGAAAAAAACACAATGGATGATGGGTAGATGACACGCTTGGGCGCACATGCATCTGGGGATGAACATTGAGGGTTCTAGGGTTCCGTGCATAAAGCTCGGAGATTGACTGACATGCCAATGCCTACAGCATCCCACAGCCAAGCGCATGGGAAGTTTTCTTAAAAAATAAGGTGATGGAACTGGTCAACAGACTTGGAGGTGGTCTCAATGGAACATCTTCAAACGTTGCTTTTGGCGTTGGGAAGTCCAAGCCTTTTCCATCTTGCTCAAAGTGATGGAAAGCCGGCTTCCTACCGTTGAAGCTCTGCTCCAGATTGACAGTGGACCATGGGTAGTTACCGGGTAGTTGTTCTGTTCTTGGGTGGTGTAGGAACATGTGACCACATTTCACGGCAATCACAAAGCTTCTTTCTGAACAGGTGGAATCCTGGAAAAGACATGTTTGAAGCATCCGTCCCTTGTGATGACTGCACTCCCTTTGCGACAATGTGAACACATGATTCAGTAACCCCACAGACTAAGTTGGCCCAACTTTGCTTGTGCAATCCAAGCTGCTTTTCGACAAAAACACCTTGCATTTTTGAAAGTTTTGGTGCAAGAATGGCCCCAACTATAAATGTTGTCAAATCTATCTGCCCAATCTCTTCCTTCAATACCAACCGCCTTTCTTCCATGAAGAGGTTGAGTCTTGTCCCTTTCTTCATCTGTATACACTCCGACGAGCACATCACATGGAAGTGGATGACGCCCCCTGTTTGTAAAGGAAAGTCGTCGTCGAAAAGGCAATTTTCCACCTCCATGTGAGTGAGTCAGAGTGTAAGTTAAACGTCTTCATGGAGGCCAAGGATCATCGGCGATCTCGAAGCCGACCACATACTTCTGCATCGTAGCGACATCACCGTCTCTTCCCCATGGATGACTTGAACCAAAGATCACTGGGCGCAGGCGCATGGGTCATGTCAGGGAGACCCATGTCCGGAAGAAGACCTGGCCTTTCCGATGATTGGAGGTGTGTTCATTTTAAAGGGTAATATCAATATGGTATATGCGGTTTGCATCACGAAATGCCAAGAATTGGTTGAAAGAACTCACATCTGACCAAAAGCTATAGTAGTTGATCTATCAACAAAGCCGTAACAGTTGAAACCACAAACTCATCTGAAGCAACTCAATCATGTTAGCTTCACCCAACTTCACACACACACACACACGCGGCTTCCGATTGATCCTTCAGGAAGCCAATGTTGAAACCTCTGGACCAGGGCATGGCTTGTTGAAAAGGTGGGCCACGCAGCGAAAAGGATCACCTACAGTACAACAATACGCAGTTCAAGGATCTATATAATTACGTAGATCACATACAGTACAACCAACAGCATATCATTACTGTGTGGATGCACGGGACTGACAGAAACGACCACCACATGGCAGCGTTCAGTGCTGAGGATACGATGAAATTGATCTGTATAATTATAATAACTATATTGTTTTATAAACACACAAAGGATAATGTATATTACTATATATCACTTTGATATCACTTTGTAAACCTTGAGTATGGCTTCCTGCGACGATTCGGAAGGCCTCTTTCGGGGGCCCAAAATTGAACGTGCGCCATCCAGGTCTGGCTGAAAACCCTCCATCGGTCCATGCACCCCATCGTAGAGTTGTGATACTCCGTGTTTGTGTCCTCTACATCCAGGTAGACTGAGCATCTGGAAGCCCAATTAGTAAGGGCTTTAATGGACTAAGAGTTGGGCCCCAATGATTCTCCAAGCTTGTGAGGCAGGGCTTAGCATTGACGGAGCCTTGGTTTGTAACTCAGGGTTTGGTGAATGGAGTGTCCGTGATTGTATAACTAATCTGCGTCCTGTTGACGATGTCCTGTTGACCAACACCAAAGGAGAGTGCCGCGTTCATTTGAGGCTCCAGCAGTGGAAAGTCTCCCTAAGCCTATCAACTCTTCCTTCAGGCTCCTTCATGGTCAACGTCTGGCTCGTCAGGAAACATCCACTATGTATAATATGTGTATATTAACTATAGGCTATACTCAAGTGCAACCTTGCTTCCCTCTCTTCGAGTTGTGAAGCTAAGCGGTAAAGCGGAAGAGCAGGGATTCGTTGCATTCTACCGTCTCTTCCTTCAAAGCTTGACGTTGTGTCTTGACATGCCCTATTGCTGTGTCATGGGCACAAAGAGGCATGTCAAGAAACCGGGCTACACTTTTCTACCACTGGACCCCGCCTTCCAATGACACGCCCAAGCCCGCTTCAGCCCCTTCATGCTCTTCGCCCCGGCCCCTAGAACAACCACGCCCAAAGGAAGAACAACACACAACCACTACCACCACGGACCTTGTCCAATAACCTGTCAAATGCAACCTGGGTTAAATAACTACTACTACTGTTCCATAACTACTACCACGAGCTGGTGAAATGCAACCTGTCAAAAGCAGGCCAGTTCTGTTCTTCACCTCGGCGTTCTTCATGGCACGGGCCACGTTGATGCGGAGCTGGCATCGGCCGCCTGGCGATCCATTCACCGGACACAACCGTGGTGTCGAGGTTCTTCCTGCAGGCTCTCCATTGTCTGACGAAAATTCAAGCACTGATTGGTTTCAACTCGTGGGACCTGTCATCTCAAGCAAAGGTTAAACATAGAAAGATCTGAAACCACCACACGGAACAGCTCATGGTCAAGAAAAGTAAACTCTGAACATGTCAAGAGCTGGGTTCGGACCAATCTGCACCGTTCCTGAAAAAGCATCTCCTTGATGCCTTGGACCCACTCCCCGCTCTAAGTGAATACCACTCAAACGCTGCCACTTCCAGTCCAGGCCCAGGCTGACAAATGACTTGGTTATTCCCTAGCGGCACCTCCCAAGCCGCATGCCGCGGAGCTGATCAACTGCCCAAAGTGCTAGTACCAAACTACCAATCAACAAGAATCCAACAGCTTTGCGACGGTGGTGTGCATTACGTGATGGACTGGCTTGAGCTCGAAATAAATTCCCTGCCAAGATCTGCGCAGGACTTCCAACATTTCAAAGAACAACACCACCATTCAACAACTGTCAAACCGAACCCAGGCATCACTTGCGCCAAGGCAACGGCGCGACCGCCTGAGGAAGATGATACCACCTGCCAAGACCCCAGCTGGACCCATCAGTTGTTCGCCTCGTCGGGGCCGGCTCAGCAGCAAGGCCCGGCGCCGCTGTTGGTCGCCTCCCATGGGGCGGGCTCCTGGAAGGACGCAAAGCCTAGGGCTCCTGGTTGACCTCTTGAGAACATGGTTGGGTGGGTGCCAGGGAGGGGTGCTCATACCACCGAACCTCAATATCCGGACCGTTCGGAGCGTACTTCGACCCCGGTCTAAAGTCAAGACGGCCAGGACCTGAACGGGTCCGAAGATTCACTCTGACTTGGCTGTGCTTGGCACAGAAAGACGCCCCACCTACGATTCCGCAGAGAAATCACCAAGAACTTCCATCTAGATTGGAGCTTCACCTTTTTTCTTGAACCTGAAGTGGGTGGATTTTAGGGAATGCCTTTACGGCCATAAGCACATACAGGCCTATGGCATGAACCCTCGACTCAAAACAGAAAACATGGATCCGCCAGGCTCGGTACTTCATGATGGTACTTGCATGGTCTTTCACGGTCCTTCTCCAACCCAATCAACCCCAGTCCCACCATGCCACCCATGCTTTCAAGGGATGTGGATTGAAACACATCTGTGCCAGTCGGATTCCGTCCCACCATTCCTTCTTTTTTTAATACCCAGATACTCCATGGCATATTTACCTGACCCCTCTTCAACCACCCCAATGTATGTAAATATGCCGGTCCCATGGAGTGTCTGGGTCTTTGGCCCCCCAAACGACGGCAGTGACGGAGGGCGAAGAGGTGATCGTGCGCCGAGCCCGGTGCGGGCCCATGCCGAAGACGCTTCCTTTACAAAGGCGCTTCCTTTGGACGACTTTAAGGCAAGGCTGAAGTGGCAAGTTCAGCAATGTCAGAATGCTGAACTTGAAAAAACATTAGGGAAAAGACTTGATCTGTTAATGGTGCAATCTTCTTGGTAAGCTTCCAATCTAGTTCCACGAGCCTTCAGCCTTCACAAACGTTGACTTCGGATTGTCTGCATATGGCCCAACATTTGTTGTCATGGGAACACACAATAACACACATATATACATAGACCCTTTTTGGTGTGCCCATTCTAGACCCTAAGTAGTTGATCCATCCGGTGGCGCCGAGCTACACAGCCACACAGCCCGGCAGACAGCAGCCGGTCAAAGCCGAGTTACCGAGCCAAAGGTCTGCAGTGCGTGAATCCGGTGACGAGTTGAAATTGTTCAAGGCCTTTTCCGAAGATCCCATGGCCTTTCATGGAATCCTATTGAACTATTGTGAGAAATTCTTAGAAGTTTTCTGAGACATCCAATGGTCTTTGGAAGGAATTCTCAGGGATTCTGAACTGTTCAAGGGAACACCCATTGGACAAAGATCTTTTCGGAGAGGAACAGTCCAGGCTTTGTAGGCTTGACTCACCGGTTCCTGTGGTTCACAAGGTCACCTCAGTCTGTAGGCAAGATCAGCAACCTGCGTGCAGTGTTGCCGTTATTGGTTGAAACACTGTTGGTCACACGGCAAGGAGTCCTCAAAGCCGTTGTTGGCACCTGGGAGAAGTTGTGCTCTTAATAACCAACCCGCGATGAAAGGCCTACAACCAAAGCCAGTCGTCAGCACTTGAGGGCACCAAAGCCTTTCTAATTCGCTTGCGATGGATCGAGACAATGCTGAGCCCATGTAGCACGCTGTCGCTATGGAAGTCCTTGGAGTTGAGATGAATTGAGGGAGCTGCACCAGAAATGCACTTGGTCAAAGTTGCATGGGGTGCGCTACACGCAACAAACGCAATCCCCTGCAAACCCTTGTGCCCTCGGATTTTGCTCGCCCTCTCTTCGAAGTCTGAGCCCTCATCGATCTTGAGATCTTTCCTCGAACGTCTCCTCTCTGCTAAGCTGGCGGCCAACCTGAGAGGCGTTTGCTCAGGAGCAGCATTGGTTCACCCGGCGGGGTGTTCACAGCACGGTGGGGTGCGAAGCTGCCTGGCCGGGGAACTCTATGGAACTGGTGGAGGGGGGGCAAAGCCCAATGCCTTGTGTGCAAATAGTGAGAAACCCCCATGCACCCACCTGAAAAAATGATTCGTAGATATTCGTAGTTTTGAGATGTCTTTAGGATTTTTTCGGTGGATCCTCTGCCGGAGCCCGGAGTTCCGCGCGAAACGAGCCATGGGAGTTTCCACGTCGTTTTTCTCGTTTTCCTCGAATGAACCAGGTGATGGACCTCGATGGGGCGAACCTGGGAAAATCACACCACTTCTTCAACGGGGCTCTCAGGTCCGGAGTCCACAGGTAGAGAGGTACACAGTCTCGGTTTGCACACACACACACACACCTCCCTCTCTCTCTCTCTCTCTCTCTGTGGCTGTTTTTCACTCCTCCCGACCAGTCCGGGCTTCGGAACGGCTTGGGTGGGTCCAACATGAAGCTCAACGACGAGGCCGCCCGGCGCTGCGCCAAGGGCGAGGACGCCATGCCAGCGAGGGCGCCGACCACGCCCCTGGGATGGCGCGGTTCCGGGGGTTCGGTGCCCAAGGCATGGGTCAGCTACAACAAAATGGTCCATAGTTGTAATACATGATGTAAACCACCAGGTGTTTGATGGTTTTATGATGTTTTATGGGGTGCACCTCCTATTCGAAAGCCCAGAGTATGTAATTTGTCTTGAGGGTCGTGCAGTCTGAATTGATCATGTTCTGGCGACTTGGAAGGTTGCTGTTCTAGTTCATTTGCACTTAACTTTAAGGTGCAATTTCAACCTCACTCGACACAAACTCCTAATGATTATCTATGAAACACTCGATTTTGGTACCTGGATCCTCTGGCATCTCGGCATCCCATCTGGCTATGTCGCCTCTGTTGCTTCGTGTCGGGCGCCGGCTTCGTGTCATCGTCGCTCGCGCGGGATTGGTGGTGGTCCAGCGCAAAGGATGGCGGCGCACCCGCGTTCCGGGCGGGGTTGCGGAAGTTGGCCATGGAGGAAGCCGTCTTGGTGTTGGTGCTGAAGCTCAAGTTGCTCTCACTTGTCCTGGGAAGGAGGTAAGGTGGCAAGGAATGGTGCATTGACACAACGAATTGACCCTAAAGCCTCGTGGAGAAAAGAATGCAACATGGTGTAACCATGTGCACCCTAACATTCCAAACGGTGGAAAATGGTTGAAACCCGTTCATTGCTGGCCCCACATGACTCAAATGATTCCCATTTCAAGATCCCCCTGTGTTTTGTTGGCCGCAATTGGCCACTCTTTCCAAAACACGGGTCGGTCGGAAAAAATGAACTGGGAGCCATCGGGAGCCCACCAATTCAGCATGCAGCCAACCACTTCGGGCCTTGCAAAGGAGGACGCGGCGGCATTCGAATCCTCAAACTCGCTGAGCTCTGGTGGCCGAAGGCCCAGCAAACGATCCACGTCAGTGGGCTCGCTGTGCTCCAGATCCTCGGTCCGCGAGAGCGACGCGAGGTGCTGATTTTCCACTGTTCAGAGTACAGCGATTTCCATTAAACAAAACACGTCACACAAGCCAGACGTGCCATGTATGGAATATATGCCTGCATTGGGGTGGTTTGGGGGGTCATATATGGCATACATGGAGTGTATGGGCAATGTTTTGGAGGGTGGTTCGGTGAACTGCTTCCCGCCATTTAGGTTTTGACCAGGCCTGGCTTTGGAGAGCGGGTGGCATGTGGAGACATTGACATTGGGGTTCGGACGCTTGAACAGCGGTGCATATTTGGATAGCAACGACCAGCCCCAGGCCAAGAAAAGGCTCTTCCAGATTCTGCCTCAAACAAAGGGACCCAGGGTACCTGGTTGAGCTGCATAAGGTCTCGGTATGCCGGTTCCACTTTGCCTCAAATCCCAGCTGAACTGGTCGGGTACAGGGTCAGCCCCCTTTGTTCGGCTTGAACCTCAGGCCTGGCCACGCCACGAGGTGGTTTCTGTCTGAGAAGAGTAAGAGAGCCCGGAGAGGAACCCCAAACAAATAGGGAATTCGGTAATAAAGCCTCAACCACTCCTCCCAACCTCCAGCTGGACATAGATAAGTCTAAAGTCCACTATCTCCACTGTCTCATGCACCTTACCCAACTTAGCAATAGACAGCAATAGCATGCAATGGCTCACAAAAGGGGATGTTTCTACACCCCTAACTAAGAATTGTAAAGTCTCATTTTTGGGGGGGCCATAGGGCTGGCCAGGGCGGGCCATAGCCACATGTTCAGCTTTTTTCATATGCTCAGCTTCATGAAGTTCCTGCAGCACCTTCGAAGGCGCAGCACCTTCGTGACCATGCACTGCGGTGCTGTACAAACCACGCATCCAGACCTGACCGTCTTAGCGCCACGTGGGTCCCAAGGATCGATGCGCCACGAAAACAGATCGATGATGCCAGCTTCTTGAGGGATCAAGCTCCTTCAGTCCAAGTCGGGGGGGACCCTGGTTCACCACAGAAAATGAACCAACAAAAACGGCTGAAAGGAGCTCCGGGTGCCATGACACGGCCATATGAAGACGCTAAACATGAAGCACCCTGGTGCCAGCTCAGTTCCGATTTTTGTGCGGCCTGGATCGGCATCGGTTCTGGGCTGTTGTTGCTGAGGCTTTGCCGACTTCCTCCAAAAATCATCAACATGTAAACATGTGCAACTTGTGGTGATCTACTACATTCTACCTATAGGAACAAGAAGCTACGAACGGGGCTCCTGGCATCGCTACGAACGGAGCGATCGGACGCTTGCAAACAACCCACGGTGTGAAACGAACAGCGCTGCCTGGTCTTGTTCCATCCAAGTCCGACAGTCCTTCTGCCCGGGCCCTGCCTTCCAATACTTCAACTTGGTGTTCTGCTGAAGTCGCCCCCCGGTCTCCTCAGCATGGAAGGAAACTCATGTGTGAACTGAGAACAGATCCCAAAGAAAAATCCATGGGATTGGAAACGTTGGTAACTCGCTCCACTCCCACTCATGTTGGACACTCTCTTCCAGCAAAATCCAGGGGTTCCCCTCATTACCTTCTGCCGCTAGGGATTTCTAGGATCCATTTTGGGGCGCTTGCTTCACTTGAGGTGGCGAGGAACAAGAACAAAGCAAACCAGTACCTAAAAATTCCTAAATAATTAACAGTCTAAAACATTCTAAATACAACTCAATGGATCTCTTTTCTCTTTTGCTTGTAAAAAGAAAAAACACTTTTTGGACTCCCATCGTCCGCCTCCCTCACCGTTTCGCATGGTCGAGACCGCCGGGGGGCGTCGTTCCGCGCCAAGTCCGCCAGATCCACCGTGGCCGAGCGCCCGGCTCGGTGGCGTCGCGTGGACACGTCGGACCCGCGGGAGGCCTGCGAGGCGGGGGGTGGAGTCACGGCGGAGTGGAGCTGGGCGGAAAGGAATTGAACGAAGAAGACTCTTCTGCCAAACGTCCCTAGGAACATCGCTGATCAGCCAACCTCAGTCGTTGCGCGAAGACCGTGGTTTGGGAGAGAGCCGTTCCGTGGCCGTTTCCCCTTAGTGGATTCGGGGTCTGAAGACTCGTCTGGGACCGGACCCTTTTGGCGGTCACATGGTGAGACTTCACCTGGTTCTTCCCTTCACCAAGCTTGATCCCCTGAAGTCACTGTAAGGCCAGTAAACGGTCACAAAGAGGGACTCCAGACATGTAACTTGGAAGAAGCCAGTTAGTATATGTGTTTTTATACATAGGATATACATGTGCAGTATAAGTTTAGATACATGCCTAGAACCCATTTGACCTCTGCTTGATAGGCAAAGACCATACTTTGGGCGGTTGGTGGTCCAAAATAGAGGTCAATGAGCAGTATCAGTATGCGAAAATCTGATCCCAAAGGCTGCTGCAAATGATAGAGGCCCCAAAACTGCACATTCATTTGGGGTGGTCCTGTTGGGGCATGGTCATAAGAGAACTTTGGTGAGATAATGACCTCATTCATGTTCGTACCCCTTGTACGTACCCCCCGGTATGGCGTTTCCAAACATCATGCCCAAACGCTCATGGACGCTCCTAAGTAGGGGCCGGACCGGCCTGGCGGTGCCAAGTGGCCGCCACAGCGCCACAGTAGTCCACCTTGGAGATCTGCCGATGCTGGTTGGCGGGGAAGAGGGACGCACACACCTGGCGGTCCAAACCGGAGCACCTGGGTGGATCCCGGATCAAACGAACCAATTCCACATGGTTGGTGTTTTCCACCCACTTGACACATATGAGTCAGAGGGTCCTTCTTCATCTCCAAAGTCAGGGTTGAAAAGAAACATATCCGAAACCATCACCCGATGTCCAGGGATGTCAACCTTCCACGACTTGCTGGGTTCCGGTGACTTGCTGCCATGGGGAACCGCCGACTCCGTTTTTCGTTTCTTCCGCTCCGTGACGTGAGGAGAAGCGGCGGACTCAGAGGAGCTGGCTGGGATCCGATGGAAGATTTGGACGACTGGTGGCTGGTGACTGGCACTTTTGGGGTTCTGAGGTGGCGTGAAGATTGTTTGCGCTGGAAAGATTTTGGGGGATGAATTGTTTGCATCTCACCTGCGGATGGACGGAGATAGAGGTGCCAAAACCCGATCCACAGTTGGCCGGACCCCATTGAGAGACAGCTCAACCACGGTGCTGCAGCCACTGCTCACTCACGTGGGCTTGTCGGAGCGAATCTGCTCCAGTTCGGAGCCAGCAGCAGGTCTTGTCTGCAAACGCGTCCCGGTCCCACAGGCCCCCGGGGCCGCCCGGTGGTGGCCGATACCGCCTGGACCATGTGGCCATGCGACACCAACAAGCAGCTCCGGTTCGTGTGCCGCGCACGACGCCTCGGAGGGGACGTCCGGTTCGGGGAACACTGAAAATGCCTGCATGCCAAACATCTTCTTCTACAAATTAGATCTAGAATGATCTAGATAGACATGATAAACTAAGGCTCCTGGCAGTGTAGACTCCGTTTTTGGATGCTATTTTTTCTGATGGGCTTGATCCACCAAGCCATGCTGGTTGGAACATGTGCAGGACAAGGTTTCCCTGAACATGCCACGTCAAAACCCAAAGGAGCCTGGGGCATACTAGTCTGATGAAGAGTTGGACCCTATTCAACAAGCTACGGGCAGGTGGACCAGCTGCTTGGGCCTGCAGCCACAGTCAGTTCCGCCCAAAACGTTAGGTTCTACTTCCGCCGTACCTTCGAATGTGTACCAATCGGCCCGTTAGGCCCAAACTTCGGGCCCGTTCCATCCAGGGGGCAAGTAATCCAGGAAGCGCTTGGCGTATCTCATGCGTGCCTTGGGCATGGTCTCCGGCCACTGAGGCCGCTGGCCCATGAGCCGTGCAGCTTTGATGCGGGAAAGGTCGAGACCACCGGATGCGGACGCGTCGGACGCCTGGAGGCAACTCATCCTCGGAGAGATGCGAGGAAGAGGAACACCGGACTGTACATTGGGGTGGCTTAAGGGGTCAAATGGAATCAATGTCGGAACAAAAGGTTATGCATGGAGTGCCTGGGATGACCCAGGAAAAACAGGAAGAGGGAATTCACCACATCCAACTAGGGGATATTAGGGGATGCAAGTCCCACATAACACCAGCCTGCAGCAGTGCTCATCCTGGCTTCATGTTGGAATGCAACTACAACCATGCAACCATCAATGGAAAAGTGAACCGACTTGTAACATACACAAACAAAGACTGGACGTACGACGTATGTCAACAAGTATACGTGTTCAATCGTTTTCACATGGCACTTTGTACCCCTTCAGATTTGCAGGTCTGCCTCCTTTGGGTCTTTCGCCCCGGCACAAGCTACACAGGTTCCGCAGCACCGAACCGGCTGCGTCAAACGCTGGGAGTGCGGTGCCCGGAGGTAGCAAGAGACGGACGTCAAAACAACTCTAAATATGTCCTCGTCACACCGGTGCGGGAGAGTAATTATATACATATTATATATTACTTATTAATATTGCTTGGACTGTATTCTTATGCTCTGACAGGATTGATTTGGTGCATTTTGGAGCCTCTATCCGTGGCGTTTGCCTCTGCTGCTGGGCCATCGCCCGCCCTTCGGCCGGGCGTCAGGCTTTCCCATGGCCTCTCCTGAGGAGCGCTCGGCGCTTGGCCAGGAGAATAACAAGGGGAGGCCATTAGGCAAAAGATTTTGGCCTACAGTCTTTGGGGCATCTGAATGTCCTAACGCTATTGTCGAACTGTCCAGGATGCTCCCTTCCTGGACCACCCAGTGGTACACAAAAAAGTGTTCAAGGTAATTTTTGTTACACTTTTTTGTAACTCGAGCGCATTTTGGTCCAAGACTTCAACTCGAGCACATTTTTTTGGTCAACTAGGTTTTTCAAGAATGAACTGAATTGTCACTTGTGCGCCTATTTGGCTCAAAAAGGGCAAATATGGGTAGAAATGGTGCTGGCAAAAATGAAAGGCCATCTTTGCATGCATGTTTTTGTCTTTGCATGCTTGCCTATGCTTGTTGCGCTGCATGCTGTTCATGTGTGTTTGCTTGGGTGAACCTCTAGGTCCAATCATTTGGAAAGCTGGCATCACTCCATGTGCGTTTGCTGCTGTAATGGGCAAGGCAGGTTGCACAGCCCCTTTGGTGTTGCAATGTATCAGTGGCTATGAACCGATTGTGGTTGGGGATGCAGGTGCTATGTTTACTGCTGTAGCATTTGGCTGATAACCTGTGGGGCCAATGTCGTGGTCAGAACAGGCTTCGGTGCTAGCTACCTCATGGGCCAACAATGAGGACTTGAAGTGCTTGGGTGCAAAACACTCGCTGTGCGTGATTGAGGGCAAGAAGATCACCAGAAGCCCCTTGAAAGCATGGGTTTTTTGTGCCAAGGTGCTGTGCTCTAAGATGTTGCTTTCAACAGCTGAGGCGATGTCCGAGCCAACTATGTCTTGACAGGGTTGGCTGTGAAACACTTAGGGCTGAGGCCTTCTCTTGGCCAGTTTCAACAGGCTGTTCATCAATTTTGGTCATTGACGTTGCCAAAGCAGGTAGAAGCATGCAGTGCCTTGAAGCATCTAAGCAATTGTTTTGGTGAATCCGCGGTCTTGTGGTTGGCGCGTTGAATAGGCATGTGTTGCACCTCATGCTTGATTGAACCAGGTGTGAAGTTGAAGCTGCATGCACGCTATGCAAGGGCTCTTGTGTACAAGTTCTCGCGTATGGCCAAGAACCATGGTGTGCATATCCAGAATTTAATTTGCTGTCCTTGTCTTGTTGCCTCCTGATTGCTTTCTGATATTTTGTTAGTGCACCTGGCTTGCGGGTTTCCAGCTGGTATTGGTCAAGTTAAGGAGGCCCCATTGTCCGAAGTGCCCAAAGATTCGCAAGCTGTATTTGCTTGCTGGCATGGGGCTGCCAGGGAAGGCTGAATCAGGAAGATGGACTAACTACAATGCTTGTGATTGTGTTGCATCGCATTCATCACATCATTCTGAACCACTCCATTGCAGGAGGTTCAAGTGATAACTCGTCGTCATCAAGTGACAGCTCTTCAGCCAGTGCCCTAACTGACCTCCAGAACAAAATGCTGCCTGCCTATGTTTCATTCAGCTGTCAGGATGGTGAATGTTCAGATGGTGAAGATAATGAAGGTGATTTAGTGGATGCAGCCCCGGAGCCTAAAGAACCTGGAAACCATGTGGAGACAGCAGGCTGTTGAGTGTGTTTTTCAATGCGCGAAGCTTTGTTTGTTTCTATTTTGGTTGGGTGCCATCACTTGTGGGTGTGTGTATAAAGGTCATGCTTCTGATTTGACCACGCCGCCGCCTCTGCAAGCAGGCACGTGATGTATTGGGGTTGGATGCGTAGAAAGTATACGCGATGTTGTTTGCAGGCATTCTGTTTTGTCAGGTGCACTGCCTTTGGAGCTTCCTAGCACAGAGAAAGTTGCAAAGTGTCTGGACTTTGGTTGCTTGCTTGAAAGTTGTGTGAAAGTTTGGCCTGCAGTTTGGTTAATTGAAGGACTAGGAGTATGAAAATGCTGCAATGCACAGTTCCTAGCAATCATCATGCTTGCTGCTTCAGTGTTCAAGGCTTGGGCGATGATGAACAGGCTAAGATGCAGCTGCTCAGGAAACTGACTGAGCTTGAAGAGCTCCTTGCGCTGAAAGCTGCTGAAGGTTGCAAAGGTGGATGTGACTTCTCTGGTGCTGCTGGTGCAAAATTTCCAGCCACTTGGACACGGTCAAACACTCCCGCGCTTTTGCAGCTAATACCGGATGCTCATTGTGCTGGCGCTGACCCTGCTGCTTGTGTGCTACCAACACCCCCTGCCCATTTGGAAGCCAAGCACCCAGCATGTGAGACACCAACTGGTGCACCTTTTGATGTCAAGCCCCCAGCACTTGAGACATCAACAGGTGGTGCACCTTTTGATGTCAAGCCCCCAGCACTTGAGACACCAACAGCTGGTGCACCTTGTGATGTCAAGCCCCCAGCATGTGAGACACCAACAGCTGGTGCATTTTGTGATGTTAAGCCCCCAGTATGTGAGACCACAGAACGTGATGCACATTCTTCAGTGCCTCAGCTTCCTGCCTCTGTGAAGCCACAGCCGCCTTTGCTACCACCAGTGAGTCTGGAACTCAGCCATTTTTCATTTCAGTTGCACAAGCTGCAACTTTGTTCTGATGTGAGTTTTGTGTCATGAGACCCGGACCTGGTGGAGACGCTGCCTCTGGAGCCAGAGCCTGTTGACATGGGGCTGGGCAACGAACATGCCTTGGCTGAAGATACTTGAATGCATCCAAACATGTTTGGGGCCAAATGTTTGTGGGGAGCACATTTGGTGTCATGTAATGAACTCAGGACACTAGGGTCAAACACCTATTGGCTGCAGCTTGTATTCCGCCACCAGAGGGCAAGCCTCGAGGAAGGAAAAAGAAAGGGGCAACAGGAAAGGGGAAGGGAGCAAAAGCAAAGGTAAAAAGAAAGCGGTCTAGGGCAATCCTTCAAAAGGCTAGAAGCAAGGCTGCTAGAGCAGCAAAGGAGCATGAGACTGAAGAAGGGGATGAGGAGCGTAAGGAAAGGACCAAGAAGAGACAGAGGAAGCAGAGTGGCAAGGCAAAGGCTTCCAAGAGTCAGAAGACCAAGAAGAATGGCAAAGGAAAAAGCCAAAAAGACAAGAAACCACAACAACGAGCCAAGGTCTCAGAGGAATCCAAAAAGAAGAATGCTAGAAAGAGCAAGGCTTATGGGGCTGCAATGCGAGAGGCGCTGAGACTTGGCCTCTCTCAGGAGGAGGCTAAAGCTCGGGCCCGTGAAGCCCCTTTGTTGCATATATATTGCATGTGTGCATGTGAGTCTCCACTTGCTTCTCATCTTGGTACCTCACTGTCTTCCCAAGGCATACCGGGGCACTGACTAGAAGACGTTTTGTGCATTCATCTGTTGAATGCTTTGGGATAGAAAAATGTGTGTTTTCACATATTTTCCTTTGTTTGCCTTGGATGCAAGTGTAAACATTTGTATTCTGGCATCAGCAAATTAGCTTAAAAGCTAGCGCAAGTGTAGCTTGATCAGCGAAGGGACAACCTTTTCAACAGCAAGTGGGGAAAAGTGCGTGTGCAGTCGTCAAGTGGTGAGAAGGAGTGTGCAAAGTCTTCATGCACTCATGGCAGGGTTGTGCATTCATAGCTTGGCTGTTGCATTCATGGGATGTGCTCCTTGCATTCATAGCATAAGATCGTTGCATTCATGGCTTGGTTGCTGCATTCATGGCATGCTTGTTGCACTCTTTGCATGGAAGTTGCACGCATGACTTGGCCTCAACTGCTTTCGCATTCATGGCTCAAGCCTGAGTGGCACCATGGCTTTGTAGCATTCACCTTATGATGGCTCAACCTGGCAGGTTTATGGACGCTTCATCTTAGCTGGATGGTCTTCATGCTGAAGTGACGATCCTAGTGCCCCTGTTTTTTCTCTCTTGCAGGTCTGTTACCTTTTTCTGGCTGCCCAGACTGCTTGCGTCTGAATTCTTGCATGCTTTGCAGTGTAGTGGCTCAAACATGGCCACACCACCTCAACAGATGGAGGAGGCGCAATCAAGTATGCAATGCACAAAGGGTGCTGTTGAACAAGTGTGTGGGGAATTGTTTGTGCAGGCGCATGGTCAAAAGCGACACCGTGAAGAGGACTATGTGTGGTCCTTAAGCAGTAGCTGTGCGCGCTATCATTTCTGCCTTTCTTATGTGGTGAAGGATGAAGAGTCCATCTTTCCATACTGGCAGCAAGTTCTGATGGCGGCCCAGGCCTCTTTAGCCTTGTATTTGCTGAACTTTGTTGTGCCACATGCTGACTGGATTGTCTTGGAGGTGTCAAATGATGTGATCCAGAGAATTGGTAAGGAGTGGATGTGTCACTGCTTGTGGGCTATACTGTGCATGTCATAGTTTTTTTGATTCGATCTGAAGGACAAAGAAGTTCTACAGGCAGTCTTGATTTTAGCAGTTCATGCTAAGGACTGGGGTCCTTTAAGAACTGTTGGTTTCAAATGAATGGTACTATTTGAGGATGTGCTCAAGAACGAGTATGATGAAATAAGCGCAAGTGCTTCCCAGATTCGCTCGAGGCTATATCAATCTTCTTGTTGCATCCATGAACCTGTTCTTTGTTTGCATTATGGTTGTCATTGTTCTTTGCACGCATAGGTTGGCTGCATGCATGATGCATGTGCTTTGGACTCATGCATGCAAGCATGCTTTGCATTTTAATGTGCTTGCAGTTGCATTCATTTGCAGATTCAATTCATATACAGTGCTTTGAACATTTTTGTTTTGCCAGGTTGGCAGCTAATTCGCCTACGAGGCAAGAGCAATCTGCACCCTTAGGCCGTGACCCCAAAGTAAAACCTGAATCTGCACCACTGCGAGAGAAGGATCAGCCAAACCTACTGAAAGACTACCCCTCAAAGAAGGCAAGCCCATCCAACCACTGTCCACAAGCCCAAGGAGCATCGCAAACACCAATGGCACCTGGAGCAAAGGACACACCCTTGCCTGATATGCGAAGCCACCCCAAGCCTTGTCAAGTGCCAGTGCCCCCACCAGTGCCCCCACCAGTACCACCAGCA